TTTCCCCCCTCTTTTTTTTTTTTTTTTCCCTTTTTTTTTCTTTCACACCAAAAAAAAAAAAAAAAAAATACCAAAAACCCAAGGCGCAAAACAAAACCCAGCTTATTACACATAAATAGGCTACAAAGACTGTCTGCTGTGCTTTATATAAAAAACCCCTTAAGTGTTCAAAGTGTCGGCTTCTATCAAGCACATCAAGTCCTAAGCAATCTGGAGCCTTCTCCGCACTCTCCATCTACCAGCCGAGCAGCTGTAAGGCACACGAGCTCCCAAGCCAGAAAGCTCCTGTCTTAAAGAGTGAATTTCTGGGAAACTGTCTCGGCGCCGGGCGCCGTCCCCAGGGAGCCACCCGGCACCCAGCCCTCCGCCACAGCCCGTCCCGCCGGGCTGGCCCAAACCTGTGCCGAGCACAACCAGAAAGTTAACAAGCTAATCAGGACAGCCCACAGTTCAAAGACCTGTTATGTTTTCTAATTTAAGCGTTTTCAAAAAAAAAATAATAATCCTAATCTGTGAATACACTGGAAACTCCAGGCGAAATTGCTGCGTTCACTGAAAATTAGACTCCATTAGATGCAATCTACCCCCAGACTCAGACACCCTGCTACAGCACTGGCTAAAGCTCCCACCTTTCCACCTTCCCTTGTGGACACTTGAACAGTGCAGTGACAGAAAAGAGACATGAAGAGCTTTACATCCCCACTGGCTCCAGCCAGGACACAGAGCTAAAGGCAGTCACGCGCGATGCTTCTCTCCCAGCTTTGCTTGTCGTCCTCGGAGCAAGCCTGCCTAAAAACAACCAAGACATGGTCCTCACTTTTCTTGCTGAGAAGGGAATGGAAGAACAACCCTTTTTGTGGAAGGAACTCAAGAATCAGGCCCTAAACTGTGGGAGGGCAGAATAAGCTTAATGAGAAGCCATTCCCTCTTCAACAAGAACACCTACTCCCCGTTCAGCACCAGTGTCTTCAGATACACCATACAAGACAGGGGACATCACAGCCCTAAGCAAGTGACAAATTAATTCCAAAGGACTTTTTAAGGTATACAACTGTTTCTACGAGCCCTAAAACTGCATGGCTACTCTTTCCTGCCTAAGATTGGTTGGAGTAGAACGTGCCTCCTCATATCAGTAAAATTTGGCAGGATCAGACATTGTATTTGGTGAAAAAGTATCTGCTTGATATTCTACATTCAGCTTGCTCCACTGACATTATGATAGCTTCATCAATCTAGAAAATGCAAGGAGAAAATTATGCCTTATATGTCATAGCAGTAGAACAGTATTATAGCAAAACACAGTTGGTTTTCACCTCCTCTCTTCCTCTTCTGCATTTTCAGACTCTTCAGTGTGGTCCCCAGTCACCAATTTGCCAAGAGCTTTTTGCAATTTTTTTTCCCCACAAGGTTTACAATGAAGAGACAAGTGAAAAAAAAGCTGTGGGCTGTTCAAGCTTGCTCCTTCCCATTTACATTTACTTTCCCAGCATTGATCGTCCTCAAATCTCAGAAGGTGCACTTTTGGACATCTTAAATCCTGTTCAGCTACAAAGTGTCATCACCTTCAAACAACTCATAAAATAAGTCTCTTATTAATTCACATCAAATTAATTCAAAACCATCTTTTCTATTACCATATGCTTCAGAGCACAGCACATATTAATAGTCATCTAGCCACTGGAATAAATCTAACCTTTTCTATGGGTATAAAACAGACACTTGGTCATTCCAGAGAGTTCAGGAGTGGCATTTCAAAATAGATTGTTTGAGCCTACTTCCAGGCACTCATTTCATTTTAAGCTCGCAACTGGGGTAACCATGCAGACACTTTCAGGAGAAACTGCAGTCAAAAGGTGATTTGTCTAAAGAAGCGACACAGGATAGAATATTATCGTACCTTCCAGCCAAAACTGAAGAATTCTAAAACTGCTTTTATTTAATGGTGCCTGAGTATGGCAGTTTGTTGCTCTGCATTTCTTACTAGCCTTCTGCAGAGAGCTTGTTCCCACCAGACGAGGATGGGGGGGCCCAAGACAGCAAAGATCCACTTTGCCCTGGCTTCCAATCAAGCATCTAAAAATACTTTGTAAACACGACAACCTGTTAAACCTCAAAAAAGCTTGTGAAACAGGAAAATTAATATCACTGCCATTTTACAGATAGATAAAATTATCTACGGAGAGATGCAAAAATCAAGGTGTTCAAGCAGGCAGGGCTCTTAGCTAGGAACTGAACCTGGTCCCTCTCGACGTCCAGGCCCATATCCCTCTCCTGTACGTATTTCAGGAGAGAGCGCATCACCCCAGCACTTGGCAAAAGGCCAAGATCCTGTAATTTAATAAGGTACAGAAAGAGCACCTCGTGCAAAAGTCTAAATGCTCCCATTTATCATGACAGTTATGGGATAAGCTGACATTTTATTTGTATGTAAATTAATCTCCAAAACAGCATTAAAAGGCCACACTTTCAGAGAATATTGTGCCTTTGCTTCTCTGTTCTGCATTTATCTAAACTCAGCTTTGTGTATTAAAAGTAGTTTAATTTTTATGTATTGATGCTGCTTTGCATGCTCCCCAA